TTTCAGGGTAGTAACTAACAGTGGAGCAAGTACTGACCTCTTCCCCTGCAAACCCGTCCGCTACTTTTGGAAGCAGAGAGCTTAAAGGAGGGGAGCAACTGGAGCAGTGACAATATTTCAAGAAGGGACAAGCTTTCAGCCAGCCTGCTGCAGGTTATGTATGGCAAGGAAAGACCTAGAAAATTCCTGTGCAAGGTCTTTTCAGATGAAGAGGATTCCGATTTAATATAAACAATAGATAAAGCTATCACTAATTCAGGCCCATACCTTTCTCCAAGGATGTCCAGAAGATTCAGGTTCTCATTTGCTGGCACTGCTCTGTCTGGGCTCTGGGTACCAAACGAAGATAGTTTTAGGCCAGTTCAACGCTGTTTTGCAAGAATATACGGTGACTGCATAGGACTTCTGCTGTTTTGGGTAACAAACAACTTTTCAGAGCATGAACATAGCAGCACTGACAAAAAGCATTTAAAGCAAGTTAAAGTCTCTAGAAATGTCACTTCCTAATGAAGCAAGTCAACACCTATTAAAAGTGTGTGTCCTGTTGGTGTGTTAGTGTTTTGAATAAGCTGGGTAACTGAGGAATATATTAAATTCACATATCAACAACTCTGTGTTAAATGCAAGGCAAAATATTGAATCTGAGGATCACATTAATGAAGAGCTCAACTGGCAAGTCAATATATTTTGTCAGCTGAAGTGCAGTCAGCCCACAAAGACTAACCATTACCTCATTATGATAAATTGCAGTTACTGATATTAAAACTTGGACTTCGAAGTAAACATAAACATTAATGTCATGCCAGTTTGACAGTGTATTTGGAAGAGTGCAACAAAATAGTGATTTCGTATGTGAAGTTGGTACATAAACCTTTAAAAGTAGCTATTCTTCAGCCTTTTTAAACACACTTCTATACAGACCAATTAGATATATTACCTCTACAGGAAAAATACACCCACAGAACCTATGAGCTACTTCTGACAATGTTTGAAGTTCCTTCTGTTGAACTGCTCATGGTATAGACTTGCTAGCATTAATGTGAACACTGTTCATGATTTTAAAGTTTCTCCTGTTGTCCTCTGTTGAAGCCCTCTCAGAGTCCGATTATGCTATTCCAAAAAAGGCTCTTCTCTTATTAAAACCAGAAGCTTTCATTCTCTCTTGAGGCCTGATATTTATGATCAAGCATTTCATGCCTACTTCTCTTGCCCTAATTCTGGTCATTTGCAACAATGCTGGTGTTAAGTGACTATGAAACCCTAGTCTCTAAAGTAATCAGATTTTCAGGCTCTGTGCCCTATGTCACATGGAATCATTTATTGCAATACAATAGGAAATAAGGCCACTACACATAACAGTATTTCTGCAGGGAGGAAGGTTGCTCATTGCTGAGTAACAGTATACCCAGATGATTATAGGTTGTAAATTGTGCCTTAGGAATCGGTGGATTTTTGCATTTAGGGCAAGCAGAACAGAGAGGGAATGACCAAAGTAAGAGCACAGAGAGAAAATATGCAGGGTACCCAGCTCCCGTTCAGGTACCTGGTCACGTGGAAGTACTAACTTCCCAGGTCTGGCTGGTATGGAGCAGCTGAACCGGTCTTGGCAGCTGGGATGAACTGGGCTATGAGGAACCAGCAAGGCTTCATGTCTGGCTAATGAGCCCAGCAAACTGTTCAGTCCCTTCTTCTCACAAACCTTCTTCCTTCAAACCTCACAACTCTGCTATCAGCCTCAGCAGCTCCTTGTACCCAACACCTTTTGCGACCTTTGCATATAAGTACCAGAGAGGTTGAACAGCAGATGATTAAACTGAACCATGTAAGAACTGTGGACTAGTTGGATCATTGCAGCGTATTGTATTAAGTCTTTGAATTTCAGAGCTTACCTTAGAGACACTTCCTTTGGTCTTGCTGAAGTTGTAGAGAAAAAAAAAAAGGCCCAAGCCCCTCAATTTTCCAAATGTAGTAAAAAGTGTTTGAATACACACTTTAATAGGTGTCCATGTGTGTCCCCCCACCTCTTGAGTCTTTCAATTTGATGTGTTTCCTTAGAGACACTTCCTTTGGTCTTGCTGAAGTTGTAGAGAAAAAAAAAAAGGCCCAAGCCCCTCAATTTTCCAAATGTAGTAAAAAGTGTTTGAATACACACTTTAATATATTTTCTGTGGCATTTTTGTAAAATACAGATATATAATTATAGATATAATGCATATATAGCATTTACTATATTGATAAAAAGCTAGTCTTTTCACAATGACACACCAGTAATTATTTACAATATGATTCAAATTTTAAGGAACAAATGTTTCAAACAATATTGTGTGGTTATATGATAACAATAATTTGAGGAAAAATAAGAGACCAGTTCTAAAGATTCCCAGATGAGAAAGTACATACTCTTGCCACGAGCACCTCCGTGAATGTCCATGCACAACCTTTTTTTTCCCCTTGTAGGAACGTGCATGATTTAGCTCTTCCATGTTTCTACCTAGTCACAGCCCTTAAGATGACACAGATAATTATCCTTAACCTTTTTCAAATACAGAGTAATTGTATCATTCTTTCCATTTAAAGATTTGTCCAACTGCAACATTTCAAAGTTTTGGCTAAAGCAGGAATTACTATACACAAGTTTCTCGTTAATTTAAACCAACAGAGCTATGACAATTTACATAACTCAAAATTTGCCCACCTTCTACACATCTTAGAACCATTTCACAAATTCTTAGTGTGAGGTTTTTGAACAGTTTGTTTTGCATCGCAGGTCTTTGCTACAAAAGGACACTGCAATGCCAAAACTACTGACAGACCTGAACCACACGAATGCTCTTTGTTTTCCTCATATATGAACACAACCCAGCTATTAATCTGTAATGTACTGTCCACAGTACAGCAGATGTAAAGATTACCTTCATCTTTAATGTACTGTCACCATTTACTGTGAGGCAGAGAAGTGCTATTATCACACTGTACAGAAGAAAAACAAAACAGATACAGAAAGGCTGAATGAATTGCCCAAGGTCACTTGGGAGGTTTGTGACAGCAAAGAAGCAAAACCCACATCTCCTCAACTGCAGGCTCATCATCCTGTCTTTCCAGCTTTGAATGAGAGCTTTCTACATGTGTTCTTTAACATAAACAAATATGTGTCTAATAGAAATAAAGCTTTCTCCAGACACAGGCCTAAAGACTGCTGTGGTTTCTCTTCTATTCCCAAATAATAAGAAGAGATAGTGAGAGGGCTGTTTCTGCATGCATTATCTCCAAGCCACTGAAGAAATACTAGCTGCAATGAGTCTTTCTTGAAGTGGGAGCAGTTAAGCTCACTGTTTGCCAGAAAAGACGTAGGAACTCTTGTGAAACACAACAATTCATCCTCACCGAAAAATCTAACAAACACAGAAAAATGTAAAATCTGAAAGGCCTTATTCTCCTCCTTCAATGCTGACCAGGGAAGCATTTTCAACTACATTTGTACCCACTTCAAAATGCCTTTACATCGCCTGCACAATCTAAAGGAGGCTTAGCGTACTGTTGAAGATGACCCATTCTCTCAAGCATTAAATTCTGTTCTACTGCCTCCGCTCTTGAACTCTGACAGGCGGGCAGCTGAGAGGCAGCTTTCACAGCAGGACTGATGTGCAACCAGGGATGTGCAGGTGCAGATGAGGGCAGAAATTTCACCACAACAACTGTCTCTCCGTGTCCTCATCACTCTGGAGAAGCCTGGTCAGGAGCAGGTTGTGATCTGTGTTCTTATAAGTGCCAGTTAAAAACAGAGCTGGGAAGGAAGGGAAACTCTCCAGTTCCAGGGCAAACATTGACTGAGAAACAGAGCAGCAGTAACCTCATGACAGAAAGGAGTAAGAGGAAGACAGATGGCTCCCTGGAGGGAGGGACATAGGCTGTACGTGTCATGCTGGAGCATTCAAAGTAAACTATTAAAGGAATTTTGCCTATTGTAATCCTGGTCCCATTTTGACCATGTTACAGGGAGGCAGCTGCGACAAAGTTCTGCTTCCAGCACTTCCAGGCAAACTGGGTCATCTGCCTAATTGCTACAGGTGACGTATTTATGAGATACTGAGGATAGAGGACTTTTTGCCCTTACTTAAAAAAAAAACCCAAACAAACAAAAAAACAACCAAACCCAAAACACAACACACACACAAAAGGGTAAAACCAATAATGGAATTTCTCATCCTGCTCACCTTTTTTTTTCCTTTAAAAAAGTAAAAATACAAAAACAAAGATACATTAGAATATCCTACTGTCCAGTAAATGTCTTATAGATATTTACGGAGGAAAAAATGCATCTAGCCCTTCCTTTGACAAAAATGAAGCACCCCAAAGTTCATTCCATACCAAGGAATGCCGCTTCTTCTGCTGTTGGTTTAAATTGCTCCTATCACCACAATCTGAATATGCATTATTTGTCTTCAAATACCTAAACATAAATCTAAACTAATGCTGAAAAAAAAAATAAATCTGAGTAAGAATGCTGTTCTGTTGATAAGCTAAAAACAGCATATCATGAGAAGGCAAACTAATCTTTCAGTTTACTTTGCAAATAATCCATTAGCTAAACTTCTATTTTAGGCTGGATGCTTGATGCTTAACACTTAAAAGTCCAAATACCCTTCATATCCCTTATAACAGAGAAGAAATTTGTAAAATGCCTTTGGTGCATCAGCTTATCATTGTATGAATGTTTTAAAGAAACTCACTAGTACTATAGGAAATGTAAGTGGGCTTGTTTGTGTTGTTTAATACTCCAAGTGTCATTTCATTCTTTAAAGGGGTTAGAGCAGAGGAGGGGGAAAGGGGAGGAAGTCTTACTTAATTTGTTGCATATGTCCCAACGTGTTATACAACTAAGTGTATTATACCAGAAAACTAAAGCAGTCCGCGCCGCAACAAACTCTGTGTAATTCAAAATAGGAGAATAATCTGGCCACAAGCAAGTCAAAAATTCAGTGAAACTTCCTCTCATATTATATACACACACACTTTACAAGCTACATCGAGTGTCCTTTCATATTCCAAAAGAAATACATTGTAGACACCAAACATACTGTACTTTTACTTAAAGGCTTCATCAAACCATATGTGCAGACACTTGAGAAGACGAGAGTGTTAAGCTTCCTAGGGTCCTAGAGTCAAAGAAATTCTGCTGCCCCCCGCTGCTAAGTAAGTGCACTCCTTCCACAGGGGGCAACATCTGCCGATCCGTCATGGTTCCACTTGGCGAGGACCCCAAGAAACTTCCTTGGGAAGAAACGATTTTCTCAGGACTGGCAGCCAGTTTAGGGGATGTGGAAAAGTTATATCCATAGAGCGCACAGGGACTGTGCAGTCTAAATGTGTTGTAGGAGCCTTGGTGGGTTTGATTAGTGGTAAAGGCATTGCTGGATGGGGACGGCATGATGTACTGGAGCTGCGGAGACATCCCTGAAATCTGCATAGATAAGCCAGTCTGAGGGCAGCTGAAGGCATCCCCATCATTCCCGCTCATAGACATATTCACAGTTGTGCTACTTGACACACCGACATAGGAGGGAGTCCTCGGGGGTGCAAACGTCTCACTGGTTTGGTTTGTGAGCCTGTTGTAGGTTTCAGCCAAAGAAGTGCTGTATCTGTTCAGGGTCAAGCCTGAGCGGGCACAAGCTGTGTAGTCAGCTGGAGCAAGGCTACAGAGCTGGCTAGTGTTGGGACTGAGGTGGAAGGCTGGAGATGAGCAAGGGGAACCCGGTAAAAGGTGAGGGTGGGTAGATGGCACTCCGCTGCCAGATCCCTGGAGTAAAGTAGAGGAACCTGCATTTCCTGCAAGAGAATATTACAGTGTAAGAAGCACGTTGGGAAAGGTTGACTTCCAAGGTGACAGATCAAGACCTTTATCTCTTATAATAACCCTTGACATGAAACACAATGCAAATGCATTCAAAAAATGACACGTGCATACATGTGCAGGGGAATGTGTGCATGTGGCACATTCATATGTTTCAAGAAACAACCTGTCCAAGAAAGAGAACGGAAGTTATGTTTTTGCACCCATCAGTCAATAGTCAGAGCTCCTGCACAAAAGGTTAACTATTCTTTATTTGACACAAGAGGCAAGCTGCATGGCAGCTAAGGTGTAGCCAAGCAGGTACCACATCACAGGAAGCCTCCTTCAAAGTTATGAATTTTGTATTGTATATGTATATTGTATATGTTGCTACACCTCAGAGAGCATTTCAAGCACTGTGCCTCATTCACTGTCAGAGCACCAGATAAAGAACCGGCTCCTTAGCTCAAATCATGGAGGCTCAAACAGTTCAACAACTTCAGGAAAGTTCACAACTTCAGAACAACTTCAGGAAAAGTGTAGGCTGACTACTGTGCACGGCTGCTTCATTTCCTGAACAGGTAGGTGGAGGTTTAGGTTTGCAACACATTGTTCATAAACCGTTCATTTACTGATATCACAACTTTTTACATGACAAATACCAGTGCTGAATGCTCCTGAAAACGTGCTGCTGGCTACAGGTGAAGCCTTTTCTTGGGACTGAAAGTTTCACAGCTGTAAGAAACATTTCCTCTTCTTAGAGATTATATCTCTATCATGAGATATTTGCGCGTAGAGAAATTTATTTGGGCCTTTCACGGTCTCTCAGGCAGAAGGCAGTTAACACGGAAGACTCTCCTGTTTGTGAATCACATTAACTATCAAACAGTTTGATGCTGCAAAGAGATACATGCTGTCAACAAGTTAACAGGTTTTCATGACAGGTGAGGTAGTAAAAAGAAAAATACATTATCATTGAACTCTGCCTGCTTCTTCTTGCTCTGCTGACAGGCCAAAACAGGCACAAAGCACCATGACATACTGCCACATTCCAGAAATCCTGGTGTAAGGCATACTTATTTTTCTTCCAGTCTACATCAACACCTCTGCTATCTGAAGATGGGCACTTCCAGCATTAACAATCAGGACAAATTTCTAATGGGGTCTTTCAACAAGTCTCTAAACTACCCTACTGTCTAAGGCGCAGACGACTGAAGGATGTAGGAATGCAAGGGTGCCAGATCCCACCCTCTGAACATCAACAGGCTCCTTAACCTCGGGCAACAGCAGAAAAGGAAGTGGGAAGTTCATGGTGGCTGTTCCCCTGCTCAAACAGTACAGTATAAACAAACAGCAATACAGCAGTGTGTCTCCTTTCAGTCTTACACAGTCTGACGAACTGTTTCAGGTCTGATCCTGGCTTCTCATTACAGGCCTTCTCTATAAGGACTGTATCCTGCTCCCATCTGCCACCCAAAACTTTGCCAGCCCTCATCCAACATATCTGTGACTTGGCACAAAAACTCCTCTTTACTTGCCATCATCAGGTATTGATGCTCAAGATTTTTCAAAGAACTGAGCCAAGGAGAATTTGATAAAAGTTATTTTTCTGTATTTCCATATTTTCTGGGTTTTTGGTCTGAAGATGCTTGATGACTCTGGAACGTATTACTACGAAAGTCTGAAATATGACATATCAGGAGCAAGATGTCTGATTTAGTTGGGAAATGGATGAGAGGTTCTCTATGTGCCAAGAGATGCTTTGTAAATAAAGGAACTCAGAGAAAAGTACCAAGACTCCCCACTCTGTCAAAACAGGCCATTTAAATACCCCTCTCCCCCCGACAGCACTACCTCTATGATGAGGAAAGTGGAAGCCAAACAGTTATGGACCGGGGAGCAGGAAAAAACAAGATGGGGAGCAGGAAAAAACAAGATGGAAAGCAGGTCCTTTTTTTTCAAGCTCTAGGATGCAGTTAAAGTTTGTTGGGACTTTTAATGGACAATTTTTAGGTCCCTAAGAATCACAGAGGCTTTCCAAGACGGAAACCCAATTAAACTTGCCACTGTTGATTCATTACTTAGAGGACATTTCTTCTCTCATTCCTTTTTTTTCTCTTAAACACACAAGTAATTTCTACATTGGAGTTCAGATGTGTCCAACAGAAGTCATCTACAAACGATCTCTGACTTGTCTATCTCACCAGAGCATAACACTAAGAAATAGGTTATTCCATTCTTAAATAACTGCTATCTTCTTCCACATGAGATCAGATCTGTCTTTAGGATCTAACATTTTTACTGCCACAGTGGTTAAGTCAACGTTAGTTTTCTAACTTAGAATAACTCTGATGAGAGGCGATGGCCCGCACTGGGGTTGGTTGGTTGCTTTTCCTCTGCAAGTGACACACTCACCTAGATTTTTGTAAAGAATGATGGGCAAAGATTTATCTTCATGTATTTTTGTTTTGAAAGAACACAAAGAAGTCTGGTACCTTGTTTGGGTATCCCAGGTATATCTTCAAATGTAAGTGTCCTCAGGGAAGGTCTCCAGAAGGCATAAGACTCTACCAGAGCTTCCAGTCCCATTCTATTTAGAACAAAACCAACACAACATCATGAAAGCAAGTTGTATTTTGTCACATTTCTCCGGATACTTCACCTCAGAAAATATAGGAATTAGTAATATTTCAGGATTATTTTGAAGCTGATTTTGCTTTTTAGTATCCATGAGATCACTGCGATCTGCAGTCGCTGGGTTGGCAGCATGCAAAGAGTTTCCCAGTTCCACAAGTCTGGTGCTCTATTTCAGTTTTGGCTTTTTGGGGATTTGGGGGTCAGGGGTGGACTTGATTAAAATGACGTTAAATATTTTCCTAGTACAACATGTCCTTAACAGCAACTGCTTTAACTGCCAGAGGGATGATCTCCTATTTCTGTTTGGAACAAAGGTGACAACTTCTATCAAAACAGGATTCCCAGTCATTACTGATGAGTTGGAAAATCACACTTACTTACAACATGAGCAAGGCATGGGTGTATGGCTCTTTCACTACTAGAATGTATAAAGCAATGTTGTGTCTTGGTTATTATGTGCTGAGCAAAATGCCTTTAGAAACTAAAAATCTTCTGTCATTTTCTTTCAACGATGCCATGACAAAACAGAAATAACCAGGTACACAGTTGTGGAAGAAAGTATTTGGAAGAATCTCTATTTCCTGAAGGTAAAGTCTCATCTGTTTTCTGACAGAATATTATGAATAATGTACCTCAGAGGTATAATTTTGCTGTTATTTTTGGCTGCTGGGCCCCAAAGGCCTGTTAAGCATCAGCATCAGGCACGCACCAAATACAAGTGCTTGCCTTTGAGCGGCAGCACTCTGTAAACTCAAATTATGCAAATAGCCCCATTTGAAGATAGCAACATATTCTGATACCATTCTTCTTCCCCATTGCATTTCTAGCAGGGTCGCAAATGTATTTTAGGAAACAGTTATAAAGTATTTATTAGCTGAACCTGGACTAAAAAAGATAGCCTTCATTTTCTGCAGTAATGGTGAATTTTCATTTCTAGTTAAAGTGGAGATAAAAGCCACCTCCTGGAGGAGTGTAGCTAAGGCGATAATTTATACAAGATGCCTTCGAACAATTTCCACATTTTATCACCACCCTAATTTACGCTATCAAATGGCCAAGTTTGTTTAACGAAACAGTTATGTTTTTTCCTGAAGTATTTAAAGGGAGAAATTCTGGTCCTTTCCTGAGTAAAAGGTTTTATAGGGTCAAACTTAGGGCCTAACTGAAGAATGAAACTATTCTCAGCACATAAATTCTGTTGCACTTTGCAAATGCACAGGGAATGCTTTTAAAAGGTGAAGCTACTGATTTCTGTAAAATAGCCTGTGGGACTAAACAGGAATGACCTGAAAGGGAATATTTTTAATTAAACAGTTATTGTATGCAGCAGTGCATAGTAAGATAGCTGCAATAATTAAAGCCAGTGAAAAGCTGGATGTAATGGTACCACACTATTTTATTTCTTTTTTACACTTTTGTGGCAAACTAAAATGCCTAGCTGAGAAGTACACTAGCTAGAACAATAAAGATAACCAAATCTTAACATTTAATTTCACTTGTTGTTGTTGTTCAGCAACACAGTAAAATAATAAACTGAGCATAACAGCATTTTAAATTTAAAAAAGGAAATTTTCCTCGACAATTAAAAATCTGAGCTGCATTCCCAAACACTTTTATTCAGTACCACAGAGCTTATCAAAGAAAACAGCAATATTGACTTCAGTAAACCAACATCAATTTGCAATGGACAAGAGCTTGCAGGGTCTCTTCTGTAATGAGTAACACTACAGTAAAAACATTCAGACCTCATCTACAGCCAGTTCTGAAACATTTATACAGAGGCTGGCCCTTCCATTTCTGTAAACTACAATTGTCTCTCAATTCGAGTATCCTGCTTTTTTTCTAATGTCCGAACCAAACTTGTTCCTGGCAGCCAAACCAAAATACCACTCCGGATAGCCCCAGTCCTCCAACTGGATTTGCACAGTTGCAGACGCAGTTCTCTTGCTGCACCTATATTCTCCTCGGGTAATAGCAGGGCCGTCCCGCCACGCTAAACCCAGTTCAAAACCGCTTTCCGAATGATCCTCTCCTCTCTGTTTTCAACAGCATCTTTCCTTGTTTTGTAGGACATTATGGAAGAAATTCAAACCCCATTTAAAGTCAGAAATTTCAGAGGAGTCAGGGTTTAACACTTCCCTCCTTAGAACTTATTTTATAGCTCTGCCAGAAGCATGTGTAGCAGAGACGCTGCCTATGGGGAGCTGTCAAATAGGGCACGTATGGCAACTTTTTCCTTCCCCAAGTACACACAGCACGTTTTGCTTCTTCAGTCACTGCATTTATCTGGAAGTTACTGTTCACTTAAACTTCAAACCGTAAGGCTGCAAGGGAGGACAAAACTCTATTTATGCCGGTGCATGGGGCGTCCTTTCCAGGCCCCAGGACACAGCATGGCCAATTATTTCTTGCTAGAAGATAAAAATCTTAGAGAGCAGCAAATGCAGAATGTGAACTGAAAAGATATGTACGGTGAATTCCTGTAAATCTTTACAAACACCCCACCCCTGCCATAACCTTCTAAAAACTATTCTCATTTGCATCCAGTCTCAGCATTTATGTAACTCAGGTGGGAGCACAAACCAGGCTTTCGTGCTGTAGCCTCAGTTAAAAGAGAAATTCAATAAAGCAGCTACCAGCAGATACTCTCTGAACATTCCTACGAGCACAGTCTGCTGCCTTCTCTGCAAGGCTAGGTCATAAATATAGCAGCTGTAGACACCAAACGCAATGTGGTCACTGGAACTGATGTATACTATGCACCACAATTAAATGCTGCTTTTTTTAGCTGAAATGGTTTAACATACAATTCATAACAGGCTTAAGTATTTTGCATTAAAAAGTCTTTGGATAAAATACCTCACCAGTGTTGGCAGCAGGGACTAGACCCAAGTCTCCACTTTGCACTACTCAGATTCCCCATTGCTATTTTGAAAGATTAATGGATCAAGACAGAACAAGCAATTAATCAGTCCAACCGCAACAGAGGAGGTGGAAACCAGGCTCGTTTCAAGGTCATCTATAGCCTAGTAGGAAAGGCATTCACCTAGGAAGCAGATTTAAAACTCTTTAGGCTAAAAAGACACTTGAACACTGGTCTCCCATCTCCTAGGCAAGTGTACTAAACATAAGGTTACTGCAAGAGGTGACTTAGTTTCTCCCCTTTAAGTGAAAACAACAAGCTATTCATCCATACTAAACGCCACTTAGCTGCAAGAAAGCCTGGGCTTGCAGTTTGACGTTGGTACCTGCAATTTGTGTCTCTAGCCAGGAGAAAGAGGAGATTTCAGGAGCAGCCTGAAATCACAGACCTGAGTATGCATTAATGCCATTTGCAGCCTTCATGGTATGCCGCCGTTTTCACCGAAAGGAAACTTGAGTACACGAGTCAAGCCATGTGCCAACCCGTTCCTGACCTAGATGGTCAGAGGAGTAGGAATGGGAGCCCACCACAGAGAACATTACTGGGAAACCTAAGTGCTCCCTCAGGGAGTCTGTGTCCCCAGACTAATTTGTCTGTAAATAGAGGTATTTCCCCGTACCAGCCTTCACAAACCGATTCTGTCAGCAGTAACAAGCCCACCTCCTTCCCCAACACATACCTGTTACGTCCCGAATCTCTAAACCCTTTGGCGAACGGATTCCTATCAATCTTCAGACGAGTTATCTGTGAAGAGGATTAAAGCAATTACCCACAAATTCAGCTAAGCAACACTCAAAATGACTATCCTGACAGAATTAAGCTGACAGTGGAGTAGAAACATCTTCATAGCTGCATGGTTTAAGATGGCTGTCCTGAAACGCAGCAAAATAAGGGCCAGCCTTCTGATCATTATTTTTGCAAATCCCCAGAGAAGCTAATAGGTATTTAATGCTACCAAATGGCAGGTTGGAATTCTTGAGAAAAATCTTCTGGCAAATGTCATTCTTCACCTAAGAGAGTATACTGCCTAACTGCAATAAAATTTAAATTAAATTTTATTTCTGTATGGGTCAAGAAGGAAACATGAAAAGAGAGATTATCCCCAGGCTATTATCCTCCATAAAAAAAACAGCAACCCCCCCCCCAAAAAAAAAAATCTTTGTAATTTATTTAAATGAATAGGATGGGCACCCAATAATTCTATTTCAGTATTTATATGTCTCTCCTGCTCTTCTCTTTGCAAAGATGGCAAGGCATATGTAATTTCCCAACATACAGCTGCAATAACTAAACGTGGAATTAATAAAATGTCACAACACTAACTACGATGTCACTATGTTTAATACTTAAGCAAGTGGTAACAAGAGCCAAACACTGGAGTCACGCAACCTGCAGTTTACTTTTGACTTTGAATCTGTGTGGACCCAGATAAATTGCAGTCAATAATATACGTTGAATGCAGTTAATGAAAATGACTGCAACTTTCTTCAGACCTCAGCTTCTCCATTAAGGTCCTGGGAGTCTTGAAATCACTGGAGTCAGGACCAAAAGCGCTTCAAAAATTCTATCCAGACATTTATCTACACTTTAAAGGTACAAAAACAACTTTAAAAATTAGCCTGCTCTTTGCTTTGTGCTTCAATGCTGTACTTATAATTAAGACACCGTTAATTATGATAATTAGACTGTGTGATCTCCATAATAAGAATGACCTTTTACACACAGTGTCTGGCCCACGTGGCCTGAAGTCTCAGCTATAGAGATACTGCTGCAATACTACTAGTGAAAGTTGCTTGTTGTACGAAAAGGGTTTAGAAAATGCTTTTTAATAAGTGGCATAATAAAAGTATCCGATTTTCTCCTATCTCTTACTACCGTGTCTAGTCTGAAAAACCTGTAAAGTGCCAAGCAGAAAGCTGACGTTACCTGTTGATTTTGGTACGCTGTGACAGTAGTGAAAACTGTCTCTGGAAAGGAGAAGGCTTTCACCCCTTCTCCTGAAGGGATAGGCTTGACAGGGGACAGATCATCTCCACAGTCCTTTCGGATGACGTGGACACGAGGCTGATATTTATGCATGGAGTGAAGGATAATCTATGCAGTCATGAAAGGAAAAAGATAACATTTATTAGAAAGGACACCCTGCTGTTTCAGGACTAATAGCTTTTTGGAACAGATTATGGTATGTGTTTACCATGCCACTTACTGGAAAGCAAATGTTTTCTTTAACCTCTGAAGGTTCTTATTACAGTAGGCTAATCCCTGTGCGTTTATGTTATTGCCAACCCTAAGCATTTAAAAATTACGACTCAGGAGCTCCAAATTCAGAGACTGGCTCAATTGAGACTGTCTCAAAAAAAGAAAAAAATATCAGGAGAGAAGTCCTTGTCCCCCTAGAATTAGGAAAGTTTTGTCACTTTTTTTCTGCTGGAGCCTGGATTTGATCTAACAGGATTAACAGCAGCAGCATTTGCCTTCAGAATATGCTTGGAGCAATTTTCTTCCCGATATCCCAAAAGCTGGAAACATATCTTATTTTGAACGCAAGCTGGGACTCTCACACTCTGAACGAGCAGAAACTTAGAGTAAAATAATACCAAAATCCAAAACTCTAAAGTTTTAATAACCCTGGATTTATAATACACATATACACAATACAAGCAATACACAAACCCCTCCCAGCATACAAAAGCTCAATTAAGAATAAAGGATAAACGAGAAGTATATGAACCCATAATGCATAAAATTAAACACAAAAATACCTCTTTATATAGTTCCCAAATTTTAGAGGAGGCTTAAAATACAGAATTATTTCTCCAGTTTACTCCACTTCAGCTAACCACTACTAAAATAGAAGATTTCAAGAAAAAAAAAATAATTGGAAGCTCAACTATTATTGTTGGAAGGCCTAAGAAATTAGTAACTCAATAAATAAATAGTCCTATGGCTATTGGCCTGTGGAACCCCTAATCAACATTCAGGGGAAGCTTTTTAATTTCCTGCTCCTCGAGTAGGCTCAGAACATGCATGTGTTGAGGCACCTGACAGAGCCCCTACGCCAGACACGGTGGAAGTTCATTCATCCAAATGACATAGAGGACATTGCATTCATTTGGATAAACTAGAGTTTGGCTAGTTTAATACACTTAGTCCTAGCCAGATGACATGACCCTCGGATAAGCCAAGTTTCTGGATAATCAGGGGTTTTATTAGCCTGTAAGTAAGGTTTTGACAATGATATCACAGGCTCCAATTAATTGGCTCAGGGAGTGCCCAATGGATGTCCTCATATGAAGCCTTTTCCCAGTTTCTGAAATCTTGCACAGAGCGTGATTTTTATCATACAAATGTGTATTCTCTTTTACAACACTCCTTTCGGTTTTCTGCTGGCAAAGATATACAAAATGAAAATGCCGAGAGGACAGCACATTCCTGACCCTGTTTTCCTGTGAACACCCAGTGATACCAGGGGAGATGCTGGTGCAACAGAAAAATAAATGATCAAGGAAAGCTCTGTTCCACTGTTCAAACCCATCACTATTCGGTGTCTTGCTGTTTGCCTGGGTGCCACTGAGAGTGTCCCATTCTGCTCCCACCCTGATTACTTCACCCCATCAGCTCTGCAACGCAAAGTACCACTCGCCTACATGGTGGACTTGACCGTATGCAATGACAACCCAGGCAGTACAAAAAGCTCTGCTCACATATCAGGACAAGTGAAGTCACAGCAGCATGGAGGTGACCATCTCCCGCTCCTGATCTGGGTGGCTGTTTCAGCTAAACCAATCTTTGTCATCTCTTAGGAGCAACCTGGCTTGGCTCTGTGCTATACTGAGGTTTCCGGTGCTGACACACTGTTAGACAATTAACGAATACGTAGCAGCAGGGTTTTTTTTTTTCCCTGGTTTTGTACCATGCCTTGTACAACAGTATCTTTGTTAATGATCAGGACTCTGAATTCTGAATAAATAATACATAACTGCAGAGCCCTGGTGAATTAAAGAACAATACTATGTAGATAGGACATAAAAGAAAGGGAAATGCAATAGCCACTCTGAAAGTCATGTAGTTCTATTATTCTAAGCATCACCTAAAGTTACTGTGGTGAAAAAGCTAAGGAAAAAGAGATTCCTGCTTTTCATTTCTCATTGCTTGCACATTCAACAGCACAAATGGGATCCAACAGTTTATCTGCAGAACCAGCAACTTTCCTTTTGTACCCTTGAAAGCCAACAATAAAAAGCCCCAACCAGAACAAACCCCACCAAATGCCAAGCATGAACTGACATTGCTTTCAACCCACAGTCTGAAAGCCTGCCTCTCTCTACAAAACCCTCACAGGGCCCGACCAGAAAAACACTTTGTGGGGGGAATAAACCTCTCCCGCCAAATGTAAAATTACACTTTGGCCACTGCAGCTGTGAAGACATCATTATCAGAGAGAAGATGCCGCAGCAGGGAGCCCGCAGGTAGGCAGTGGGGCAAGGCGACAGCCTGGCAGAGCTAAGGTGGCCAAGGCATCCGCGGACCCACAAAACTGGGATTACCTTCGGGATTATGGTATATAATACGCAATACGGCTTTTGAGAGATGCTGCTGTGATGAGGTCTCGGAGGTGACTCTGGGCTTGGGCACCACCGTGGCACAACTGCAGCCAGCACACGTGAGAGCCTGATGCTCTTTTCATGGGGGAGATGCCGATCCCCCAGCGGCTCAGCGGTGCACAGATTACACAGCCACCCCCCCACCCTGATGGGTGCTCACCTTGATGCTGTTTTCACCAAAAATCCTCCTTTGTCCTCCCTACAAAGCCCATGTATTCAGGCTTTCTGCGGTCAGGGAAGCGTGTGGGGCCGAGGAGCACGGACTCCCTCTCCACAAAGACAAAAACTGCAAGTGCAAATGCTGATGTTTCCCAGCTTTTCATTGTGACAAGAACATATAACTACCCATTGACTGTAAGCAGAGCTTGCTACTTGGAGCCAAGTCTGGGCAGAGTAACAGTCCGCCTCTGCTTCCAGCCTCACCCCACTTTCAAATGGAGGGGGAAAAAAAAAAAAAAAAAAAACAACCACCAAGGAACAATTAACACGCTAACAGCCTCATTTTCACTAAAAGTTAAAAGATGTTTCTCTGCATCAAAAAATGCTCAGTTGAAAAGCATGGAAAATAGCATCAAAAATATTGACTTTTCCCCCTCTACTGAAATTCAGATTAAAAACTGCACCAACATAGCAAAATCAGCCAGCTCTAACCAGCCGGAGGGAGAGACTGCTTTGACAATACAGCACTTACTCCACAGATGGAGAGGGATGAGAGGCATTAACAAAGAGCGCCCAGACCACGCACTTCTCAGTGTCAACTGCAAAACGCAGGTTTACTTTTCTTTACCGTCACAACTCGGATGAAAGACACAAACGCCACAGTATGTGTCTCAAATGATGCCATCGGGCCTTAATGCCTCTATAAGCGCACAGTCTTTCCGACGCACGGAATCCACCCTGGGACTCCCTTTTGAGGTCAAAAATACACAAGGCAAACGTACTCTTACAAATTTTGCTTGATCTCCTCAGCCTACAAGTGGAACCCGTGTATCAGAGAGGAGTGTCCTACGTGCAGATGTACTTCAAAATCTCTCCACGGAACAGCGCTATAAAATTACGTTGTCACAAATTCCCACTCAAAATACTGATGAAAATAGCAGCAGGCAGCAAGGAGCCCGGAAAGCATTTGAGCAGTGAAGCAAGTCATCTTAGTGATGGCTGATCTCCTTCCACAAGGAACTAATCCCAAGCCAGGGCAATGCGAGGGGAGCTGGCTCCCATGAACTGATACCACAACATAAATACTGTACAGGAATACTACCTTAGCCTCTGTTTGCAAATATTGTCTCCATCCCCATGAACATGGGGCACTTTTCTCACTGATTCTGAGAGGTAACACTCTGGAACAGGTAAACGGGCTCTGGCTTGGTCTCATGTAAGCTCCCTACCTCAGTGCCTGCTGGATCAAAACCCAGCTCTGGGGTTTTAACACAAAAGCTCTGCAAAAGGCGATACCTCTGAGGAGCGCGGTTAGAATAGAGGCACAGTTTTGACAAGGATTAAAGCCCCAGAACCAGACAGCGTGGAAAGCATACCCAAAGAACAACAGCTAAAGCCCCACACTGCTTGAACTACTGGAGGAATGATGGCAGAGCATAGAGACACCACTGAGATTTCTCTGAGCCATTCTGCCTTAGCAGTAGGGAAAAAAAACCCCAACTTTCTAATAATCTAAAATATACCCAATCTCCTGTACAGGGGTGGGAGAGTCAGAACACTTGATGTAAAACAAATATTTGAGGGACAGTACAGTCTTGACCCCTAGCTCTTCTAATCCCCCATCCCTCCCCTGGTACCCTCTTGAGAAAAATGGTTCCTTCCTGCTTATGAGAAACAATTGTTTTTTATATTCATCACAAAATATGATTATTCGTTTTCCATTATTGCTGGAGGCATTCAGAGGCTACATAGCTTTTTCAATACAGCATTCCACACTACCATAGCTTTAAAAGAAAAAATGTACCCATTGGAAGAGACACTTTTCTGCTTTCTGCTTTTGCCTTTTCTGGTAATTATGAATGACATGTTTGCAATTTCCCAGATTTGAGAAATATGAAATTATTTTACAGTCATCCTTCTTTTGTCCTTTTATTTTAATACTTAAATTTCCATTTTGGGGAGGAGGGGTACTGCCATAGCTCTGAATCAGTTCAATGTGTCTCAAATCACTGTACTAAGGCTTCGCTTCACTAGTTTCCAAATCGAAACACTTAACTAAAGACCAGAAAATTTATATCCCCCCACATTACGAATAATGGTGTGCTGCGTACACTACACAGGTTTCAGTTCAGACTAAAAGCAAAGCTAAGATCTAGGATGGAAAAATACGGTAACACAATTCTCTACATAGCCGAGATTTTACCACAGTTTGCCACTGCAAGTGCAGGGGTGGACCACAGCACCCACGTATCGCCCCTCTGAACCGAGCGAGTACAAAAAAACAGCCGCACTGCCTGCTCGCAGTTAGAAAAGCAATATTTTACCCATTTGCATCTGCTTCCCTTTTTAAAGGCCTTACAATAGAGGCAGAATTCAGAGAAAGCAACTCCCACTCAAGAAGAGTCGCAAATGTACTGGAGAAACTAAGGGAACAACGCGTACCTAACCTTAACTCAGTTGGACACTGCCGAATGGGACCCCGTAACTCTAATTCTGGCAAGACGCGATGTAAAATGTCTTTCTTACAAACCTAAAGAAAAGCACTGCTAATTTTGGAGATGTGAATACCCCCACATTCTTTTTAAGGAAAAGTGCAATAAAATTACAAACATTATTATAAGAAAGGGAGGGTTTTTTTGCCTCTATAACATAAAAGTTGTAGCTCCTGCACAATTTGACCAGAGTCTCACGTTAATCTTTGCAAACACAAACGGAGGAAAAAAAAAATCTCGTACTTAAACTTGGAGTATGTATTGACAAAATACCTGGCTCAATGTCACAGAGTTACAACTATACTGAAAGATGGATGTTAGTATTTTTGTACTCTGTGCCAGGTACATTTTCTTTCACTCCCTTCCATGAAGGAGAAAGTATCCTGGTTAATAAATTGGGCTACGCTAAGGACAATGGAATCCACATCCTGTCTCAAAACTTGCCTCCAACATCTTAAAGCTCTACCACTTGGAACTCGATGCTCCTTCTGAAAGGAAGCCAACATTTGCCATTTATTACGGGATTTTGCAAAATTAAAGACTTCACCCTGACTAAAAACAATTCTTATTTTTTAATTATTTCCTAAGGTGACAAGTAAAACTATTTTAGGGATTGCTGGAAAGATACTGGCTTACATCTGTCATGTTTCAACAGTTTTGAAGAGAAAAGGAAATATTAACATAACACATTTTGTCACATTAGATAATGTCATAACTAAACAATTTAGAACTTGCAAACAGAACACTCATACTGCATACGTCTTCGCCAGTTTTTTCAGAAGTAATGAGCCTCAGCTGTGAAAGGGTCTTGCTTCATAAGGTATGTAATAAATCATTATCGGAGCAAACCCAGCTCCCATGTTGTTCGTTTTTGACTGCAATTATTAACACCTCATGGGATTTCACACAAATGTTTAGGTTAAGAAAATAGTTAAGTGAATTTTTATTCACATGAAGTTATTACATGCTATTAATGTTTCTTCTAGCCACTTGTGAATTTAAGCCTCCTTTTTGATCGGCGCAGAAGTTGCGAGTAACACGCTCGGTGGGAAAACATGAGAGCAATTCTGCCCCTTCGTACTAGGCAATTTAGCCTTGTAAAGTCTTACTTTGCAGAAGGGGTTCTGTTTTTGAGGGGGGAGTAAAACAGCAGGCTCTAATAAGCAGTTAATTATCGGAGCAGAAAGTAAGCAGATTTTAGATCTGGACGGTAAAGTTCCAAAACAGCTTTGAAAAGTCAAGCCTATTTCTGGCACCCTGGAGCTGTACGTCAGAGTCTTTCGGGGCTGAGCAATGTGCCTACATATAATACTGCAGAAGAGTGAGTACTCACATGCCCTTGATCGTCCAGCTCATTATTGGTAAGCTTCAGTTTGTCGAAGCTGATCACTTGTCTCATCCACGTCTCCCCAGAGGCGGGTGAATCGGGGTGAATATAAACACGAGGCGGCACCGGGGAGTCAGCGTTACCAGCCACCATCCACTTGGAGCTATGATAAACATACCTATAAAAAGAAAACAAACACCTATAACCACAAAACCCGAAATAATTTATCAGACCCTTTCAGTACTAACAAATTAGGGCCCATACATACAGCAAGAACTCACCAGTTAACATGATATGAAAGGACAATAAATAAAAGTGGGGAGTTTTTAGGTTCAAAACATAGTTCTGGTATCTGCAAAAGTAAGGCTCTGATCTGACCTTAGTCGTCTTAAAATCAGTAACAGCCTTAACACCAGGCTCCACACTGAGCTTTAAGCTGGTGTCAGTTCATTGATTGCTACAGCTCCGCTCTGAATAGGCATCAGCAAACAGGGAAGAATCTAGTCCCTCATTTATCAAATCGAGTGGTAATTCCATATTTGGAAGGTTTAACATGTTGAGCCTAATATAAGAGTCTATAAATAAAGCTATTGAAGGGAAAGAACATTATGATTGGGGAAAATAATGAAACTATGTCAAACTATGCTCTTGCTATTTCTGCAAGACCATATTAATTTTCTTGAATAGTATTGCAGAAAGGCTTAAAAATGAAAAAAACACAGCCCATATTTCATTTGATAGGCCAATGCTGACAAAGTCATTTTCTAATAAAAATAGTGCCTGCTTTGGTAGAAAACTTATTTTGAAGGCAAACACTTCACAGGGCAATTTAAAAAGCACCAATTAAAAACTTCAAGGTGTTTTTTCCAAGTATAGTAAAATTCCAGTAATTCAGCTACATTTTTTAATAAAAACAAGAAAGACGTCATAAAGTCATTTGTTGGTACAGTTCAGTTTCTTACTAAAAAAGACAAACAGCATAATTGGAAATGAAAACAAAATGATCCAATACATGCATCGCTCCGTACAATTCCTATCAAGCTGTAAAAGTAAGACCCAGAATGGTGGTGAAACTCTCTCCTGGAGACAAATTCTCAACCCCAGATCACACAGTCAACTGTTATAACATTTTTCATTTATTTTATATTTGTTGGTGTATACTAAATACATGCTTTCCCGACAAAAGTAAAAAAAAGTCATAAACACACATAAAATAGCTTGATCAACAGCTTCAGCTTCCAAGTATTTCCAGCAAGGTCCAATTTTGCTACAAATATAGACCTAGCTGTAATTTTCTGCATTTCCATTTAGTTTTGCTATCTGCTATGACAGCTAAAGAGTAGGGTCCACATGCCACTGCTGTTGTATCTTTCAAACCTGAAGACCAGCAAGACAGTTTGTAAAGCCACATGAATAGCCAAAGTTAAAATACCAGTCCACAATTAAAAATAAAAAATAAAAGAATCAGATTGCACAGCAAAGAATGAAAAGTGGAATCAAGTAAAACACATGAAACATTAATATTTAGCGGGAAGGTTAAAGGCATGGTACTAGTACAAGATTACAGAAAACTGATTTTGCCAACTTAAAAAATACTGCCCTTCATACAACTTTTGTTAAGTTACTTCAGTTATCTGGGCACCACGTATCACGCTGGACAGACAGCGCAGCTCATTGTGACTGCATTTATTTTAAAAGAAATGAGGTTTAAACAACTCGTGTTCAATACAACTGTTTTTAATTTTTAATATTAACATTTTCATTCCATTTGGAATAATTACCTTGCTTGTTCTATGAATTAAGGAATTGCTCAGACCTTCTAGGAATGATGTGCTTAGATTGCTAAGCACACATGTGCAACACAAAGCAAGAAAAGGGCTTTCATTTGAACTGCGCTGCACTGGTCCAAAGAAAAAAGCATTTTTTTCTCTACGATACAGTCAGAAAAGCCTCCCCTAAGTGGATGTACTGGACATCCTCAAGACTGATATCTGCACCTTGTTGAAAAACACGAGATCGAAAATGGTCCTAAGAAATGTCTTACACACCGCATGAGAAAAGGACGAAACTGCAGTCAATTAGGTAAGGACACACAAAAATCCACAGGGCAGTGTTTGCTTAGGAAGGGATTCAGAACCAACCTTTTACTCTTACTCTGAAATATTCCTAGTTCTACAATTAAATCTGCAGCGGTTTTCCCTGCATTATAGTAAGTATAGGGTTGAAACAGTCAAACCAGCAATTGGTAAGGACCTGATCCTGCCTCCACTGAACTACTTGGCCAGGCTCCTCCTGGCTACTATGGAGCATGGGATCGCATCTGTAAAGCAAGACCTACAAAACGTCTACAACTCACAATAATAACTGCTGCGGGCCCGATCCCGCAAAACATTTCTTGAGGACCAGTGGTTGCAGCAGAGTCCAACTGGCTCCCTCGAAACACAACTGCCCTCAAAACAGAGTTTCAGCACATAATTTCTACTCTTACGTACTCAAAGAACAGCTACTTTTGTTCCTCGCATTATTCTTCAGACAATCATGCCATTAATTCTTTCACAAACAGGGATTAGAAACATTACCCTTTGTGAATCTCAGCAACCAAATATCTGAGCGATAATCAGCGTTTAAATTAAATGATATAATCAATTTGAAGCATGACCAAGAAAGCTTATATGCCACTAAGTCAGACATGAATGCTATTAATGTTATTAATTAATGTTAATGTCATTTAGCAGTAGAAAAATGTGCATTTTCATATTTATTTGCTAATAGGAAGCACTTCCCACCGACATGATGAGGAATAAAGAGTGGTAAGATTTCCTAACCGCACTAGAACTCCACTCGCTGAAAGCCAAAACCTGAGCATCTGCCCACAGCGCATACACAACATAAGGCAAACGTATAAAGAGCTTCAACAGAAACTTTAGTTGGTTTTGCATACTTGGCACAACTTATGTTTTCTGTAAATGCACTGGGATGAAAACAGGAATCTGAAGAAGAGTTAAACACGACCTTCAGCTAATTTATATAGTGTTAATGTTTTCTTCCAATAGGCAAGCTCCCCATGGCTTGCATAGAATGGTTTTTGCCTTAAAGTCACCATACCTGTATCTTTTGTTATCCACTGGCACAATATCCATAGCAATATAATACTGCTGATGTGGGTCTAAACCTGAGATCTTCACCCTCATCGCGGGAAACATCCGCCTGAACATGGAAAGAGAGAGGTCATTTTTAATATGAAACAGACTCGGGAATGGTTGTTTAGGAAAAGTAACCGGTTCGTGGGATTTTTCTCGTTCTTCCTTTTAGCCTACAGAGTCCTTTTGGACGATTATAGTTACATAGCCATGAAATGGCCCATTCGATATGTCAAAACAGATTTCTAAAGTGCATTTACTCGAACAATGCTTCGTATGTTTTGGGATACGCTTTGGGAGTACAGCTATTACCACATCATTTCGACTTTATTGTTAGACAGTAAATCATTTGGGTTTGAGACTTCACTTTAGCAGGACACGCATTTTAAAGCCCGTTTGAGATACCAGCTAGAAATGTATTTCTGGGGATGTACAAATACCACCTCCGTGCCCAGGAAGACCCATACTTACAGAAATGCAAATTGCCACTGAGGTTTCGACTGACAGCAGCAAATGGTGCCTCATTTCTGTAGCAGCAAATTAGAAAGCTAAATCCACGGCGATACAATTATAACACTGCAAGGATGCAGTTATAAAAGCCAACGTGCCATGCTGTAACCCAACAATATGGTCTTTATTGAGACGGGACTTCCTGTCTGCAGCTTACTAAAGGTGAAGTGCAAGAGCTACTCTGTCTTTGAAAGGTATAGTAAAACTTCTTTATTAAAAGCAGAAACGAATCTACGGGGTAATTTCTAAAAAAAAAAAAAAAAAAGAAAAAGAAATACGTTCACGATTTAGCTCCTTCTGCAGAGGAAACGGAGTAATTAACCGATGCGGTGGTTTTAACATAAAAGTGTATTTCTTAGCTCACGTTTGGCATGCCTTTTATCAAGAAAGTTCATTCCTGAAGCCAAAAGAAAAAAAAAAAAAAAAAAAAAAAAGAAACGAAAAAGTGACGAGCTGCCTGCAAGCTAATGAAGGGTACTTTTCTGTATGTTATAAACCTGAAAGCCATTCCATTTATTCAGTGTTTGCTGCTGTTCTAAAATATATATATAAATCAATTAAAAGTCGTTACTGGAAAGAAAAAGTCCTATCTCCGTTATTTCTGAATAAGCACGAGGGTAAACCTGACTGCGGTTAACTAGTTTTCGCTTTTATTTCAGTGCACCTGTAAGATAAAACAGAAATTCCCAGACTGGACTCTCTTAAGACAAATGTTGCTTTGTGCTGTTCAAGACTGCGTTTCAATCATTAATAAAGCCTCTCTGAAAACGTAGAAGGCAGCATATGGATTCAATAAAATATGTTTTTGTAATTTCTAATAAGTTCGGATACTTTTATACTACCCAGGTTTTTACCATGTGTATCCACGGGGAAAAAGAGGGGAAAAGTCGTCCCCCTCCCCGTCTCAGAAGGACGCGGCTCTCGCAGACCCTTCGCCCTAATGAACAGGAAACCCACACGCTCCCGTGCCCGGCTAAAATTATCGCCATCTACCTGCCTCGTAAATCTGGGGGTTTGGATTTACCCCACACCCCCCCAACACCCAGTTTTTTTGATGTGCCCGCCCGCTCCGTGACCCAGAGCCCCGGGTGGCGGTCCCGCCGGTGCCCGTTACCTCCCCGCCTTGGTGATGATCATCTCGGTGCCGATCTCGTGGAAGCGTTTCCACAGCTCGGCTCCTTGCAGGTCCACCCGCGGCGTGGGCAGAGGCGACCCGGGCCTTGAATCTTTCGGGGAAACTCCCGGGGAAGCGGGTGGGGAAGACGCCGGGAAACCATCCTCCTCGCAGCCGCCTGCGGGGAGAACGGGAGAGGAAGACAGATGAACCGGGGAGGGGAGCGCGGATCTTCCCGACCGGAGAGAGTGTGTGTGTGGAGGGTGTCCCTCAGCCTCAACCGGACCCGTGGGGAGGTGAACCGAGAGGCGCTTTCCCCCATCCCCATCCCCAAACCCCCTCCAGATGTTGCTCCACCGCGTTGCCGCACCGACAACCTCTGCGCGGAGCGGGGGCGGCTGCCGGCAAAGG